ATATTATCATTTTTATTATTGCCATCATTATTATCATTAATGTTATAACAATAATAATAATAATAATAATAATGATAATAATAATAATAATAATAATAATGATGATAATAATAATAATAATAATAATAATAATAATAATGATAATAATAATAATAATAATAATAATAATAATAATAATAATAATTATTATTATTATTATTGTTATAGCAACTAATATTATTAGCGATAGCAATAATGATGATGATAATGATGATGATAATAATGATAATAATGGTAATGGTAATGATGATGATAATGATAATGATAATAATGATAATGATAATAACAATAATAATAATAATAATAATAATAATAATAATATAATTACTGATAATGGTAGTAATAATAATAGCAATGATGATAATAATAATAATATTTTTAATGGTGATAATAATAAGAATAAAATGAGAATAATAATGATAGTAATAATAATGGTAATGATAATGATAACAGCAATAATAACAATGATGATGTTGATAAAAATGATACTGATAATGATAGCAATATTAAAAGAATGACAATGATGATAATGATGAAGGTAAAGATGATAATGATATTCATGATCATCATTATTAATATTACTGTTATTGATATTATTATCATCATTATCATTATCATTAATGTTATCATCATTACCACGATTTATTGTTATTCATTATTATTATTTTTTCTATTATTATTATTATTGTTATTATTAATATTATTATTATTATCATTATTAATTTTTATCATTATCATTTTATTGTCATTATCATACTGATTATCAGTATCATTATTGAGCTCATTATCATTATTATGGTTATTATTATCATAATTATTAGTACTATCACAAAAAAAAAATATTTGGAAGAAAAGAAATCAGAAAGTAGTCTTCCTCCTTTCTCTTACGCTCTACACATCATCCTTCTCTCTCCCTCCTTCCTTTCTCTTTTCTCTCTACTCCTCCCACTCTTCTTTTCTTTAAGCGTTCCCTTCCTTCTCTTCACTATTCCTCCCTCTCTCCATCTTTCCATGACTTTTTTTCTCTTTCTCCCTCTCCCTCCCCTATCCTCGTTCCGCTCCCTTTATTCCCTCTCGCCCGTTTTCCTTTTCTCTCTAGTTCCATATCTTTTCTCTCTCTGTCTCCCTTCCTTCCTCTCTCCGTCTCCTTTCGTCACCCCAAATGTTCACCGGAACCTTCCTCTCGACGCCCACGGCTCAGGCTCCCTTCGCCGCCCTTATCCACTTCCCTCCTCCTCTCTCTCCGTCTCCACTCTCTCTCTCTTCGTCCCTCGCCCATACTCCCTCTATTCCCTTTACCCTCTCGCTCTCTTTCAACACCGTCCCCTCCCTCCATCTACTTTCTCTCCGTTTTCTCCCTCTTCTTTGTCCCTCGTCTCTACATCTTCCTGTGTCCTTTTCTTTCTTCGTCTCCCTCCCTCCCTCCCTCTTTTCCGTCCGCCCTCTCTATATCCAACCATCCGTCCCCATTCCCTCCTTCTGTGCGTCCCTACTCCCTCATTCTCTCCCTCCCTCCCGAATCCCATTTCGCTCTCCAACCCTCCGTCCCTCTCTCCCTCTCTTCGTCCCTCGCCCCTTTTCCTGTTCCCTCTCTCTATCTAAACGCCACGCGCGTCTTCTGCAAGGACCTTGTTACAGGATACTTGATGTTACCATATACCACGCTTTTATCCTATGCATTATACCTTAGAAAGAGAGGAATGACTTGAATAGACGATTGGTCTGTCTGTCTATCTGTCTACATTCCTGATTCTTCTTTATAACAGTGGGCAATGATAATGCTAAAACTTGGGATAGATATTGTTTTACATTTGTTCATTCTATTACTAATGTTGACATGTCGCTGCTGGTATTCCACTTGTCATTTATATTAATAGTTGTAGTACTGGTAACTATCACTGATATTACCAATGTTATTATCATTATTACCGATACTATTGTTACAATAGGCCTATTACCATTACTATTATGCAACAACGACTGCTACTATTAACGACTATACTATCATTATTGTTATCATAATTATTATAATCATCATTAATGGTATTGTTATCCTTAGTGTTATTATGCAAAATCATTATTTAAAAGAAATGTCATTAATGTAAAATATCATATCTATCTATCTATCCATCTCTCTCTCTCTCTCTCTCTCTCTCTCTCTCTCTCTCTCTCTCTCTCTCTATATATATTATATATATATATATATATATATATATATATATATATATATATATATATTATATTCATAGTGTTGTTTTTGTAATGCTTACACGGGTTAACATAAGAATATGATTGTCTCTTGTTACTGAATTTGATAATCATTTTGTTTTTGTTGTTAGTTTTATGTTCAAGATGATAATAAAGTAATAATGATAGTATTCGCAATGAAAATAAAAATAAAAGTGATAATGATAATAATAACAATGATAATGATAATGATACTGACCATGATCACAATAAT